AATTTTCTTTCATCTCTTCCATTTTAAGACCAATCAATTCCAACATCCTCATCAGATGATTTTACTGAAATGTTAGAGATGAGTTTCCGCTGAGATGTTTGACATTTATTCTAATAAATGCAACAGCATACAGCACTTTAATTGCTTTGACTATAAACGTTACAGACTTAAACATATCAGTTTCACGGAGAAAATGAAATTTTAATACTGTATTATATTTAGTTTCAATTAAAGAAAAAAAGGACAAGTTTCATGGATGCACAAAATATTTTTCTTTTCATATCCAATATGCACAGCAAAGTCCTCCATGTAATTTTCTCATTCCTTATCACGGGAATAGAAGCCCAGGAATATTATTGCCAACATCATTTTTGGTAATGCATGCTATGCTTTGAGTATTGAGACAAGTGATGAGTGATGATCGCTAGAGTTGACTGGAAACATTTATAACCAGCAACAACCTCAACGAGAGATACAGATGCAGCATTAAGTTTGAAGCTCAAACCAACTATGGAAAGGAGTGGGCGGTGGGCAGTAGTTCAAGCAAACAAAACCAAAATAAGAGATACGCAGCAACAGCAAGAGGAATTCTGTCTATCGTCATAGCAAACAATATTTCTAGTTTAAATGCAAATATGACAAATCAATCAAAACTTTCTCTCCAACACATAAAGTGATTATATATCTTCAGTAACAGAAGCACAAGCATGGTCCATATATAATTAGGTGTTTCAATTGTCCAATGAAGTAAGGGGTTCAATGGATGATGCCTGTAAACTCACATTATGTAAAGAATGATCGGAGATCGATGATCTACTTTGAACATGATAAGCTTTCGTGGTCATTGCCAAAACTTGCATAGCACTAATTGCAGCCAGCCTATTCTCTTGCTGCAGATATAACTGGGCAACCTGCCTTGAAAAAAAAGCAGCTTTTCTCTGGTATCCAAGACTTCCATATAAACGAGCTATTTCAATATATAATATGAGTTTATCACTTGCGTCAATTAAGGATTTAGCACCATCTGCAGCAGTGGTCAACAACTCCACCACCTCCTTGGCCAGCTCTCTCCTGTTGATTGGGAGAATTCAGATAAAATTGTTTTAAAATAATGAAAGCAAAACATATTTCTAAAAATCTACAAATTTATGAAGAATCAACTGAAATGTTGGGAAAATTTTAACATGCTCCAAGACCATGATGGTCCTCCCATTAAGGAAGTGACACATGGATTTTTTTTTCTCTCTCTTCTCTCTCCTCTCTCCTCAATCTCTCTTTCACTCTCTCTCCTCCACCCCACCCATTCCCTTGTGCGCTGGGAGCACCAAATTTCATCTCGAAATGTTGGTCTAACTTCAGAAAGTCAAACAATTGAAATGCAAAATTTAGAAAGGGCAGACATGGTGCATAATCTTGATTCAAGAATACCAATGTTAACTGAATTTTATATGCATAATGCATGAATATAGCACAATTATCACATTGTAAAAGCTCAGCGAATAATCTACCTGCAAAGAAACCTTGCTAATTTCAAAGTAGCTTCAAGTTCAAAAGTTAGGGGAGAAACTCTGCACAAAAGGATATAAAAACACTTAGGATTGACAACTACCAAATGGAATAATCTGCAAGAGATATAAATACAGACAAGTAATATAATTATGGAAAGCACAGTTATGGAATAGGCATCAGAGAGATCAGTTAATGAAAGCTCAAAGCAGAACTTTTTTACCGCTGAGTATTATCTTGTGACTTCTTGTAATTCAAGATGACACTATTATAACGATATCTAACTTCCTCCTCCAAGGTCGAATCTTTCTGGCCCATACGGTCAATCTGATACCATAGAAATGAAAAGAAATAAATATATAGGGATGTGAATGTCGACAAGAGTCACACCGTCTACTTTTTAGGATATTCATGGTCATCATATATATAATCCTATCCCATGCATTGCCACTACATCTCATTTATAGAAACTATTGAAATATTTATATTCTTATAGTGAAGAAGGCACAGAGACCATGCAATGCCATACAGTAGATGTTCCTAAAATAAAAAATAACTAATTTTCCCTTCAGATTCATGATAGAACTGCAACTGTCTAAATGAATCAATAACTAAAGTACATCTGACATGCAATATTTCCAAGTTCAACTAATTTTTCAACCTCAACCTCAGACCCTTGCAAAATAACCATAGTCCAAAGAAAAACAAAAATTGAAGAATAGATTCATATGACTGTCTTCTGAACATATAATCTCTCTCTCTTTTGGGAATTAAGGAGGTGTTTGGTAGAGGAGAAATTTTTTTTACCCGAGAATCACGATTCCCAGAAATATGGTGGGAAAGTGAATTTTCCGGAAATATTACCAAAAAGTTGTTTGGTAGGCCAAAATATTCCAAAGGGAATATTGGGTCAATTTTCCTGATTCTTTATTTGGTTGATTGTAAAATATTACTGGAAATGTGAGGTGATTTTACAAAATTAACCTTACCCATCAGTTTTATTCAAAACTTTTTCAATTTAAAATTAAAATAAAATGGTAATAATTTTTTCTCTGCAGCTGTTCCTTCATTTTTGTTAGAAGATTCATTAGTTAATGAAATGAAATGAAGGTGAAACAGATCTGTTTGGTTGGTGAGAAAATCTCCCCTCGTTGGGAGCTATGAATCTGAAACCCTTCTGCACGTTGAACCATTTCACTGTGCCAGTAGATCTCCCACTCGTGGCCATGGCTGATTACTTCCAAGAAAAAGAAAAAGATATGAAGAAGTACAAGGTTCTAGAAGAACCTCGAAGTTTCTTTTCTTGGTTCACGAAAGCTTATGTTGAATTGGACTGTTGAGCCGAGAGCGGTAATTGTGATTCGTCCATTCTCTTGGAAGAAAGGAATACAGTTGTGCTGCTGATGTGTATGGGTTTTGTGTCAGTGGTTCGAATCCTTCTGTCTTTGTAAATTAAATTGTTCGAATCTTCATGGCTAACTGATCAATGTATAAGCAAGAACAGGCAAACATCAGTTAGAAAAATGGAGACTCCATCGATTTTGTGCATAAAACTATCACGGCTAGTCTAAATCGAAAGGGGTATTTTTGTCCACAAAGTGTGGGATTTTCAGAATACCACATGTGAGATGGTATCCTTGGTTAAATTTTGCTCACAAAACAAAATCCCAGGAAATTTTTTAGAAATCTTCTACCAAATGTGGATAAATTGGATTACCACCCTCAGTATTTTGGGAATCTAAACAAAAACCATCTACTAAACACCCCCTAAGATCTTGCTTGATTTGAGAACAAATGAGGGGAGAGATTTTGGTCATTGGATCCCTTTTTTTGCACTCCGACCAACCAGTTGATGCTTTCCAATTAAATAATACAATAAATGAGTATTTCTTGAAACCTCGTGTGCCAGTAGCTCAAAAATTAAGCACTAGTCAGATGTAGTTAACACAAATACGTAGATAAATAATAAACCATTACCGTAGCGAATGATCTCAATCAGTATTCAAATTGCAAAATTGATCACCGAAAGATAAGTTTTGAACGATCATTTAATATACAATGAGAGATGGGCCCTCAGTAGTATAGTCAGTACTACACTTAATCCAACATAAAACATAACTCATGGATTGCATAACCATACCGGCCCTTAGATTAAATTTAACATAGTATTAATAAATTTTAAATCAAATATTAGCTGTTGAGAGTATTACTGTCAGATTGCCATAGAATTTCTCCAAAATGAAAGCGGAAAAAGAAGAGAGAAAATACCAGCAAGGCACAAACGCTACCCTCCAATGCCCCAGCATACCAGAAGTAATCCCCGGTCAACCTGGCAAGTTCCAATGCAGTAGAATAATGAGCATTGGCATCAACTGGAGATCCTGCCAGCAAACAGTAATCTCCAATGGTCTTCTGTGCACGCCCAAGTCTCCTCTTTTTGGCCTTGATTACCTGCATTTCAATCCAATACGAAAGATGAATCAAATTGAACTTATCCACAGCAAAAAATACAGCTGAATCCAAAATAAAATACACTTAAAACTACAAATACAAAAAAAAAAAAAAAAAAAAAAGAACACCTAAACATGAACACCTCCTCTGAGCTGAGACTAGCTTGAGAATCCAAAGGCGTCTTGAGTATGGTTCCAGAAGATTCCGCCTGAAGCACCCACTTCTCAAACTCCATGAGCAGCGACGCAGCTATTTCTTGCATCATAGTGTTCAAGTGAAACTCCAACGTTGGACGATCCGCAGGAGGAAACAACCTCAAATTCCCCTCATTCTTGCTTCCCTCCTCAAGCTACAACCAAATCACACATCACCAAAAACCGATTAAGGTTTTTCATTTTTTGATCCATTTCTTTACTAAATTGTAAAAAAGAAAAAAAATTAATTAAATGAAGCACCTGCAAATCGTTGGGGCAGAAGGCGAAGCAGCGATCGACGAGGGAGGAAGAGAAAGACTTGCAGGCATTGGAGAATTGATCGACAACGGCGTTGAGATCCGGCGAGGAAGGGCAGTGGACAATGCCGATGACGGCGAGGGTTTTGCGGTAGGACTGAAAGTCCTCCCAGGGACTCGGCGGAGCGCCGCCGAGGACGAACTTGAACCGGAGCGAACCGGAGTCCCACGGCTGGTGCGCGAACGGCGATTTCTGGTGCTCCGTGTAGAACGAGCTGATCGCGGAGAGAGGGATCGTGTGCAGAGGGAGCAGCATCGAGTAGTAGTCACGCAACGCGTTCGCCGGCACCGTTCCGACGGGAACCACCGCCACCTGGATCATCGACGATCCCTCGATGCTCACTTCCGGTTCCATAGCGGTTACTTGCTGTTTCCGGAAACAACACTCACTGCTTCAATGCTTATACGAATCACGATCCAGAAAAATGTAAATGACGCAAAATGCCCCTCCTTTGTACGTTAAATGACTATTTTGCCCTCGTCCTTTTGTTTTTGTGCGAAATATTTCATTCGTGTCTGGAACTGAGAAAAGAAGCGTATTTTACTCTCTCTCTCTCTCTTTCTCTTTAATTATATCACTCTCATGTCGGTATCTGTAGAGAGCGAAGCTGCGTCGTTTCATGCTTCTGAAGCTCAGAATAATCTTCGAAGAATTCTTGAATCATGCTCTAAAGTAAGCTCAATTAGTTCTCTCCTAAACTTTTTTTATTTTTTTGCTTACTAAGGTGTGATTTTGAAGCTTGAATAATGCTAATTAGTTTGTTCAGTGATGATGATATAGGGTATAATGATTTATGGTATTTCTTACCTTTTGCCTTTGGTTTTTTGTGATTTCTTCACTTGTGTCAGTGAAGCCAATACCATGCTCTATAGCAAGAAATAAAGGGAAAAGATAAACTTGAAAAATAAAAAATAAAAATGAATGCTTTTGTATTGTTATGAACTGAGAGGTTTGTTCATGATTTTATACTTGTTAGTTGGCTGAAGGTGGAGATTTTCACGAGTCTGAAGGCACCATCTCAGAGCTTGTCATATTCCTTGATTCTTTGTTGGATGCTGCTTTGTCAGACCCAGACAATGACCATGCAGAGAACATTGCATTTGAAGCTCTCTCAGAGATCCATCGATATATCTGTTCTCCTTCTCTTGACCAGGTGGGTTAACTTCAGCATTTCTGTCATGTTTCACATGCAGGATTTTTAAGTGTTCCATAATGTGGACTTTGAAATCAAACAACATAGAGACATGTTAATACAAGAACCTTTTATGGGTTCAGAAATTGGGAGATTAATGATTTTATGCTAATGCTTCGAATCAAACATATTATTATTCAAATCATGTCTTCTTTCAAGCTCAAACTTTAATATAAGTTCTTGTTTAAAGTGAGAGAGAGAGAGAGAGAGAGAGAAGCAAAGATTGACTTATTGATTGCTTGGCGATATGACAGGAAGTTGTTGATGCCCTTTCCTTTGAACTGCCAAAGGCTGTTTCAAAGTTTGTGAGCATTTCAAGTAGATTTTTGGACATGGCAATTAGCATCATCGATCAGTTTATAGCGAAATGTGGTCCAAGGGATATGCTATCAATTCTCTGTAATGTGAGTTTATCTCTTTATTTTCGAGTAAATGTATAATTTAGTCCTTCAAAGATATTCACGACATCATATTAGTCCTCCATTAATCAGAGACATCAAATTGGTCCTTCATTTAAGGGACCAATTTGTTTTCACTTTAAGGTCAGTGCCAGTGTCACATTTAATTATTTTTGGTTAATATCTTGATCCTATACTTTTGTTAATTTAATTGAAACAGACATTAGGTTACTCAAGTGAGATGACCAAGGCTGCCAGTTACGTTATTCCTCCTTTATCAGGGCTCTCAAAGGGTAATTCATTGCATTTAAACTTTTTAATTAGTGGATAGAATTTGAAGTTGTAACCTCTGTTAAAAAAAAAGCAAGAAAGATGGCAGCAGTTGTCTTGCTAATTCACTTCCAACGTAGGACTTTGAAGGATTATGTTCTTTTTCTTGTTTCTTTCAGCATGTGAACTCATAATTGGATTCATGCCATGAACTTTATATTTGGTTATCTTTAACCTTAACTGCTCTTGGCTTGGTGTAAAGAGAACCCACTTCTTACCCTCTCTGGCCTTTACAATCCAAGCTCAGTTTGTTGTTCTCAGCCTGAGTTGCATCGAATTTATGATTATATTATGTTAATATTGAGAAAACTGAATACAATATCAATTTTATTTTAATTGGTTTGTTGTGATTTATTGAAGGTATTTATAATTTGTTTTTTCACCGCCCTTTCTTGCTAAGAACATGATAGGATCAATTTGAAAGAGATGTTTTAAAAGGGTATATATTGTCTATTAAAGTTTGATCACATGTCTAAATGAAGGATGAAGCTAGAGAAGCAATTTCTAACAAGACACAGTGCTTTTGCTTCAGCATTTTGAACTATTCATATGTGTATAACTTTATTGGGTTGAATATAGTGATTTGAATCTTGAGTTTAAGAGGACTTTAGCAAAACTGATATGAGACAAAGTATTGTTTGGGTAAAGTGGCATGATAAGGGTGAGAAAGAATTATTTTGCATTTTTTTTTTCTGGTGAAAAAATTATATTGCTTTGGAACGATATTGAAGTAGTTATTGGATGTCTGGAAGATGAGAGAGCTTTGTCAAAATCTTATTTAAACCTTCCAATACAAATAAACGAGTCATATTTTGAGATTGAATTTTTATATCAAATTTCAAAAGATAAAAAAAAGATAAAAATATTCTTAAGGTAGCTTCAGCTTGATTTTAGATTGTCTATACTCTTGTTAATGGGCTCAATTTTTTTTAACGTAAAGACCAATGGAGCATTTGTCTTAGTATTTAAGCTATAATGTTCAAGTTGAAGGTATCTTTCTTGATGAAATACAAAACCTAAATGCTCTGTCAATGATTTGAAGCCACATTGCTTCAAAGTTTTGATTCATACTTATTTTTCCTTTTCAGTCTTTATCTCCATTCAGAGGCGTCAGTTTGAGCAAGTAAAAGAAGCCGTTCCTATGATTCTTAATGTATTGAAGGCTGTGTCTTTGGAATCAGATGAAGCAGACCTTGAGGGTGTATTTGACAGAGCTGTTGAGATTGCAAATTCTATATGTGAAGTTTGCAATAAGTTGGTTTGTCAATTTTAAAACAACTTATCTTTTTCTTTGTAAGGAAAACTTAAATTACGGATTTATTTTCAATATTTTGGCTGACATTTATTTTCACTTTTACAACAGGAGAGTGTTGCAAAGGAGAAGCTCCGAGCTCTTCTTGGTCTATATGTCCTGCAGTGCTTGGTAGATTTCTCTGTATTGCATTAAAATTTTATAATTATTCTTATTTGTAATTCTTTCCCAACTACTTTTTAGTAAATTCATTACATATATAATATGATTTTATTTACTTTTATATGATTTAACATGTTACCATGCACTGTTCAGGCTCTTGTTTCAGCCAGCTTAAGCTATAAAGCTTCCAGTTGTCGTTCGATGGTTTTACAACTGTCTCGAATGTCTTCATATTGTGGTTTATCATATCTCAATCTAGTAACAACTTATGATGTCGAGACTGTGGCTTGCTCGGTTTTTGGAGGTAGTACTATTAGGTTACTTCGTGTCTGCTGCTAATTCATTTCAATGTTAACTCAAGCATTATTTACACCACTTTATGTTTTTCTGTTCCCCCTCAATTGCTCAGAAGATAAAGATGATATGGGTTGTTTATCTCATGTCAAACATGGTGCTGCTCTTTCAGGTTTGTGTTAGGACGATTAATGTAATTGAATCCTTGCCTTTTCTCTTATGCATTTCCCTTTCACTAACCCATCAAAAGTCCCTTTTTTTTCAGTGATTTGGGGGCATGCCTCAAAGGAGGTTGCTCATACTGCTAAAGAGGATTTAGTTGCCATCAAGGATGAACTTCGCAATAACCAGACCAAAAGGTGGCAAGCAATAGGAACATTAAAGCATGTACTTTCCTTTGTAAATCTTCCATGGGAGTTAAAGAAACATACTATCAACTTCTTGCTTTGCATCACAGATGGAGCTATACCTGGAAACTACGATGATGAGCATTCTGAGTGGTCATCTTATATGCCAAATCTTTTCTCAGCTTTGCAGGTTGTTTACTGCAATTCCTGACTTAAGTTTGTTTATCATTGCTTGATCTTTTAATTTCTTAAGGAGGAAGGGTTATTGCTGATAAATTCTTCTCTTTTGCTTACACTTTAACCTTTCAGGCTGTTAAAATGGTTATAATGTATGCCCCAGATCCAGAACTTAGAAAAGAAGCCTTTGCTGTGCTAAAAGGAGTGAGTTTCTAATACTACACAATGCCTTTTGAAGTTGAAAGTTTTTAATAGTTTGTATGTAATATGAAACGTGAAATTTTCTGAAATTGATATATATGATGTTTGTTAAACCCCTTAATGTCTTGGGCGTATTTTTCTTGAGGTTATTAATGGTACTGTGCTCATGTTACTTGAACTAGGTACTTGCTGATATTCCAATTTCTCAAAGGTTTGACATTTTCAAAGCTTTGATTACAAATACTGACTCTTCTTCTATGGTAATCCTCTTAATTAGAGGTTGTTTAACTTTGGTCTTATTTAACAGTCAAAAGTTAAATCATCTAATGGCAGTTTTGCATCTGTGTAGATAGCCATTTTAATCGATCTTGTAAGGCGAGAAATGCACACAGAAATCTGCAGTAATACATCAACAGTAAAGAATGTCGCACAGATAGATAACAAAGCATATCCAGATACATTATTTTGGACTCCCAGTGTACTTGAGTTGGTGGAGTTGGTTCTAAGACCTCCACAGGGGGGACCTCCTTCCCTTCCTGAGCAGAGTGATGCGGTATTCTTCTTGTTTCATTTGTTCTTTGATATTTATATAATCCTGGTATCTTGAAGTGCACATCTATTTGAAGAAGCATTCGGCATTAATTTTTGTTTTATTTTTTTTTTCATTCTTTTTGGGTTATGCATTGATTTGCAAAGGTTTTAAGTTATAGCATGATGTATTATAACCTACAGGTTTTGTCAGCCCTCAACCTATACAGATTTGTATTGATGACAGAATCTACAGGTATGTATCATCAATGAATTATCAATTAAAGCATTAAAAAAATGGGGAAAATTACATAACAGGAGTTCTTGATAATATATATATAGACTAAATCATTTCTGCAGCCGCTGTACCCGTATCTTGGCATTTTTTTTTTTAAGAAAAGCAGTGGAGCCCACTTTTCTGTGTCAGATGCAGATAGCAGCTCTCTGCAGCCGCTGCAGAAAAAGTGCACACACAAACACAGATATATATATATATATATATATATATATATATTATATGTATATATAGAGGTGAGATCCGTTGACACTAGTGTTAAATTTAAAATTGGACACCTCATTTGAGAGTCATTTGATCAAAAAAGATCAATGGTGTCACATGTTTACAAATCAGAGTCGTTGATCTTTTTTGATCTAATGGCTCTCAGATGAGGTGTCAAATTTCAAATTTGACACTGGTGTCAAAGGATCCTACCTCATATATATATTCTCAAGTTGCTTGAGACAATGTTATCTCCGGCCACCCCAAAACTACGTCGTTTTGTTTATTTATTTCCTTATATTAATTGATTCACCTTTGAATGGTTATGATTCCCTTTTTCTCTCTCTTCCTTTATCACCATTGATCCATCTTTGTACGGTTATGATTTAATAGCCGGAGATAACATTGTCTCAAGCAGCTTGAGAAATGATAAGCCCTATATATATATATATATATATATATATCCAATTTCAAGGAGTGTTTAATGAGTAACAATTTTTTGAGTTAATGAACCACTTGAATGGTTAATTATTTCTTAACAGAAATATTTTTACCTGGAATTTTCCTTTTTGTAATTTTCCCTGAAAATTTTGATGTTACATTTTTGTTATGGTTTGATAATTTAGTAGTTGCCAAACTTAATCTAAGTTAATTTCTCAAGTTGCTTGAGACAATGTTATCTCCGGCCACCCCAAAACTACGTCGTTTTGTTTATTTATTTCCTTATATTAATTGATTCACCTTTGAATGGTTATGATTCCCTTTTTCTCTCTCTTCCTTTATCACCATTGATCCATCTTTGTACGGTTATGATTTAATAGCCGGAGATAACATTGTCTCAAGCAGCTTGAGAAATGATAAGCCCTATATATATATATATATATATATATATCCAATTTCAAGGAGTGTTTAATGAGTAACAATTTTTTGAGTTAATGAACCACTTGAATGGTTAATTATTTCTTAACAGAAATATTTTTACCTGGAATTTTCCTTTTTGTAATTTTCCCTGAAAATTTTGATGTTACATTTTTGTTATGGTTTGATAATTTAGTAGTTGCCAAACTTAATCTAAGTTAAGGTTTAATTATGAAGGTTTCACAATTACATTTGTAACACAGGAAAGACAAACAGCACTGGAGTCCTGTCTAGGAGCAGTTTACTGAAGGCCTACAATGAATGGCTGCTTCCTTTGCGTACCTTAGTCACAGGTATAATGGCAGAGAACAAGAATGATTATGATCAACTTGCAATTGACTCTGTGTGCACCCTAAATCCACTTGAGTTGGTGTTGTACCGTTGTATTGAGCTTGTAGAAGAGAAGCTAAAGCAATCCACATAAGCTGTCCCTATAGCCTAAGTAATTTCTTAAATAGATTTTGGTACATGTCATTTTTGAAATATTAATTATCTCAGGGATGAGCATGTTGTTTCTATAGTAATTCTTGCAGATGCAGTCCAATTTACAACATTTCATTTCAGTTGTGCTGCCTTGAATTTATATTTTCAATTCTTTTCTATCCATTTCAGTGTGAACTAGCAATGGACGCGAACTCTTTTTCACCTAACTCACTTTAGTGAGAAAGCCATTAAGTTTGGATTAGTAGTGAGGAGTTTGGTACTTTACGGGGATTAGAAATTCAAATCTTCATGCTGTTTATTGAGTATCGGCATATTTAACTAAAGGACCAATTAACCGTATCTTTAGTACTGGTATGTCTTTCGGTCTTTTCCAATTTTCTTGATTAAGGTAATTTACAATATATTTTATTAATTAAAAAAATTACTCTCCGTTAAACTCCGATTATTGAGTGTAGTGGTGAGGCTAATTTTTGTACACAATCTTATTCTTGCTGCCTTGCATATTTGCAAATAGTTTATTTCTTGAATTTGAACATAAGAACATAGTCATTGTGACCTTTTACTAATTAAAATTTGACTTCTAATATCAGCTATATTGAGATGTTTGAACAGTCACCGTAAATTATTTCTCTTTATTAAGTACCTAAATGAATGAAATTAATTTTATAAATCCTTCCATACACGTAACAACAGAAATTAATCACGTGACTTGGCACTTGAATGTTTCATAGAAATGTGACTTAATTTTGATGGTCGAATGATCTTGACCATTTGACTTTTGTCGTTTTAATTGTTCTTACACATGTTTCCATTATTTTTATTTGTCGAATAGTTTAAGGGAAAAAAGACTATCATTTAAAAGGATACAAGTTGTGTTTTTTTAGATGATTTACCCAAAGTATGACCGGTCACATCAATACTCTGTGTAAGTTATTAAAAGGACACAACTTGTGTCCTTTTAAATGACACACACTAAACCCATAGTTTAAATCATTTAATTCTTGATGTTTCGAGTAATCTCTATTATTTATCAATTTTATTCCAAAATTGTTGATATTTTTTTGTTTCTTCAATTGATAGTAATTTTAGTCGCTATGTATTTGTGTTTATGAAGTAAATTTGAGATCCAAAAGAAAACATTTCATTCATAAAATAATAATTGTAATCAAATACTTTATCTACTTTAGTGTTAGTGACAAATTTTACAATAAACAAAATGTTATGTACGTTACTTGCCCAATCTTAACTTTGAATTATATCCATGCCCCCCATGTTTGACATCTTTCCCCAAAAAATGTCATTTCCATCCAAAAAAATGTATGCACCAATTATTATACCAAAAGAAAGAAGACGACAAAGGCTTCCAAAGCTATTGGGCCTACTCATAGATTTGTTTAACACCTACCAAATAGGTTCATTCGCTCATAACCTTTTTCTAAGTAAATACCTAATGGTTAGATAGATTATTAATTACAGAAATTGTCGACAGCATTTGGGTGAAGCACTATAAAGAGGAGAAATTAATCCCACCTTGAGAATACCAAAGTTAGAGAAAAGCACTAAAATCATCAAACTTTCATTGTTAAATAAATGTTTCCTTTTTTCTTTTCTTTTTTCAGAAAGCCCCTAAGCAATATGATTTATCTAATGATTTTTTGAAATTATTTAAGTTTATGATGTTCATTAGATGCTTATAGCGATCTTAATTGTTCTACAACCACTACGTACATAAGGCATTGACTTATTAGACCGTATTTAAAGCATGATGATATGTCCCTACATCTATAATTCAAATGCAAATTTCTTTGTTATCAGATTTTCCTTGCTTTAATTACTTTGGCTTTCTTTTCATTTTTTTTTTCTTTTAAAGATGATAAGCAGAGGCTTCGTAACCTTTTATTAATTGATATGAACATGAATAAAAGAAATACATAAAGTATACAAAATTCTTCCATTTACTCACAATAAAAAGGGTTTTTTTTCCCTTCAATTTTATGATAAGAAAGCAATAAGATATAACAAAACCAAAATCCAAAATTCCATTTTTATTGATAAATTATAAAAATACGAGTCATATATATGGGCCTAGCAAAGGTCTAAGTACAAGTAAAATGAAAATTTTATAATTATCAATAAAAATATATAAACTAAAAAAGATCCATACAGCGTCATACCTTTCTGGCTTAACCATTTTGACCTTCATATTTCATGAATTTGCTTACGTATCTCTCCTTTTATGACGTTCAGAAAGGTACTTTGGACCATAACACTAATAAATCATTTCATAGGGATATTCTAACTACCAAAAATTCTCACTACTAACTTACTATCAATTACATCACCATTGAATCAAAGAGAGAGAATGTTAAAAAGTTTTTGAAGAGAGAAAAAATATTAATCTATTGGTAATTAGATAGATAGATAGTAAGTTAGTAGTAAAAAGTTTTAGTAGTTAGAATATCTCTCCTCTAATTTTATTATTGAAAAAAGAATACGGGAATCCATAAATATGTTATATTATAGTTAGTTGGAGTAACGTGCTACATTATCAAAATTCAAACCTATAATCGACCTAACACGTGACGAGTGTTATTTTTCTACGAGTATATTCCAAGTTCAAACCTATAGTCTCTTATTTATATGTAATCCACCGTTCTTAACTTCATGTCTACCACACTGTCCTTGTGCTGGAGTGGCCTAGTGGCCCTTTTCTATTTAAGGGGCTATTTTTATATTGGAAAATGTTTCTTATATTATATGAGATATATATGAGATTTTGTTTTCTTTTTTCTTTAATAGGTCATATTATTTTTTTATATTGTATGAGATAATTTATCTCATAAAATATGATAAATATATTTTCATTTTTTTATATAGTATAAGATACTATGTTTATATTTTTTTATACATACTTTTTCTATTTATTTTTGACATCGTTAGATTAGAATTTAAAAAAAAAAAGATAAATGATGAAGATTAATTAAAATTTTAATTTAATAATATTAGAAACGAGTAAATACAGTATGTATAGTCATAATATCTTATCTCTATACATATATACAAATTAAAGGGAAATGAAAGCACAAGTTTTTATAACATTGAGAATGCATTTTTAGTGTCACTTTCGATTCTTGCTTGTTTTTTTTTTTTTTTTTTTTTACGAAGAATATTAGAGACCCAATTAAGGTCAAATCATCCAAAAGTTCAACATTTAAAGGCCCTTACCTCTTTAGCGTCTAGCGAAATAATTCAAAATTGTAGGTAAAGTAAGAAATGTACACCACTATGGTATTCGGAATAGAAAGTGGGAACAATACCTCAATAATCCACCCAATAGCAAGGTTACACGAAAATTGTTCCAACTCAGTTTACAACTGTAGCCCATTATAGGCATCCGGTTACAGCACCGACAGGCGACATACTAGTCATTATATTAGAAGGCCATAGAAGGTCAAAACTCAAAACTACAAAAGTTCTTGTACCTATTTCGTCAGAGGCGGTGACAAACTCTAGAACTGAATCCGTCAAGTAAATGATTTATGGATTTCATCTATGAAAAAAATAATAATGTAGTTATGATTTGATCATAATTATTCATTGATGATGAGATAAGAAAGAGAAGAATGTATGATTTTTGAATAAGTGATTATGATCAAATAACATTACCACATGATCACTTTCTCATATGAGAAGATCTAAATTCATGATTTATAATTCAGTTGTTCTCAAAGAACTGAATCGGTAGAGTGAGTGTTGAAGTATCTCTTTAATTTCTTGTGTTAGTTATACTATTAAAGAGTCAGTTGTCTTTTGGTTTTCTTATGTGAATTATGAAGTTAAATTGTTATGTTTATTAGGAGTATAATGACTGATGTTATGAGCAAGCAAACACGGACACGCTAAAATTTTCAAAATTTGATGTTATGAGCAAGCACGAACACGTTAAAATTTTCAAAATTTGTGTGTCGGACACGTGTCCGACACGAACACGTTCCGACACGCGGTCAACTTTTTTCAACACACGGTCAACCCACGGACACACTCGAACACGTTTTTTTTTTAATCTTATTTTCATTTTATTAACTAAATATAAAAAAATTATAAAATAATTTTCTTCTATTATGAAATTTGACATGAAAAATTAACAAAGTACGAAAAATTATTTATATTTATATTTATGTTATAAAATTTAAATATTTGATTGGTTAATAACTTATTATGGGCTCTTATATGTATTAAATATAAATTATATTATATATATTAAAATTTTTATTTAATATCAAAATGTGTTCCAACGTGTCGAAATATGATATTATTTAGAATTAACGTGTCGGCGTGTCGTGTCGTGTCCCGTGTCGGTGTCGGTGCATCATAGGTTATGAGTAGTTAATTAGTGGTATTATGAGACTCTTGATTAGCTTTGTAATGAGTCTCTTCATTGGTACTTTCAGTTTTTTGTGTTGCCTATTAATAGGCTTGGTGTATTGAAGAAATATGCAGCATTCCCTTTTCAGTATTTTTTACGTGTTTCAATTTTAGAGTCTCAATATTCTATCAGTGGTATCAAGAGTCAGGTTGAGGTTCAAACACGTGAGGGAATAGAGTTGTAAAAAAAGAGAGTGAAGAACCATGGTCACAGATTCTAATTTTGTGCAAGCAGTCATTCCACGTTTTGATGGTCATTATGATCATTGGAGCATGTTGATGAGAATTTCCTTCGATCCAAGGAATATTGGGACATAGTTACCAATGGTGTTGCCGAACCAGTAGAAGGAGCTCAGTTGACAGCAGCACAACGAGCAGCTCATGAAGCAGCAAAACTGAAGGATTTAAAGACGAAAAATTATCTCTTTCTTTCAGGCCATTGATCGTTCCATCTTGGAAACAATTCTTTGCAAAGAATCTTCCAAGGATATTTGGGACTCCATGAAAAAGAAGTATCAAGGCTCTGCAAGAGCAAAGAGGCAATAGCTTCAAGCTTTATGCTCGAAATTCGAAACACTTCGAATGAAGTCGGGAGAATCAATTGCAAATTATTTCTCCCGCGTAATGACCATTGTCAATAAGATGCGAATTCATGGAGACAGGACAACATAAACAACTGTCATAGAAAAATTTCTTCGATCGTTAA